GATCTCACTTCTGTGAAGTTTAAAAAATAAGTCTAACTTGTGAAAACAGAGTAGCAAAGTAGCAAGGGAGAAAGCTAATGGTGACTATGGGCAGGGCGTGGAAGTAATCTGAGCCAGTGGGCTGCTGAGCCACAGAGTGGAATGGGGCACTGGGTGTCCACCATTTGTGAAGCACTGGGTGTTTGCCTTTGTAAGTTACCCTATTTCCCCCCATCCAAGATAAAAAATGAAAATTTCAGATAAAGATATGTTATATGGTTTGTCTAATAGCACCTGGAGCAAGAGACCCGGAAGAGAGCGAGGGTGAGTCAAACAGAGCAGGAAGGAGAAAATTTAGTGGGACAAACTGGCATAGTTGGCAGGATGACAGTGCTAGAAATGACAAACAGCAGAAATTTGGAAAAAGCTAGAGAGCTGATGGCAGTGGTGATGTGGATTTTACAATGGATTATAAAATATGTAACTAAAAAGAGGTCAGCCACACAGAAGCAAAGGCCACAGCTGTGTCGTAAATGTGTGGAAAGAGCCCAATTGTAGATATATGAAGATTTGGTAAAGGTTTTTAAAAAACTAGAAAAACTGCTGCAGACTGTTTACACGGAGAACCCGAGAGGGGGCGGGGCCACTTTGCCTAATAAAAGATGTGCCCAAGGCAAGGAAAGCTGAAAAGGCCAAGGAGGTCCTGGCAGACCAAGTTGTAGGGCTTGAGAGAGAGAAAAAAAAAAGGACACTTTAACTTGTGTAAGGTTCAAGGATTCAGAGGAAAAGACAGATAATAGTAAAAACAGAGATGACCTAAAAATAAAAGTAGCTAAAGCTGCCCCTCAGATTCAACTGTTGATACAAAAGGAAGAAAAAGCTAACAGTGCTGTAGCTAGGAAATACTCCACACTGCAACTGTTAAAACTAGGGAAACTTAAAAGCAAGCAATCAGAGACCCCCTAGCCACATGGCTTGTGAGAGTGTGGGACATGGGAGAAAATGACATCTCATTCCTTCAGAAGCTTCACAGCAGAGTTATATAACCACCCATCCATCCTTGTGATATAGGCTGTTCAACCTAGGCCAATGCAGCGGGGAGCAGTCCTTAATGGGATGGCTGATGGAAGGTAATAGGGATACATTGTCATCACCAAGTGAAACTCCAACACTTAATAAAGGCTGGAGGACTATAAAGGAGGGACAGGTATTACTGAGAGAACTAGGTATGAGGAACGCAATATATGATACCCAGTTCACTAGGCCAGATAAGAGATATAAAGGAAAGCTTAATTCAACTGGGACCTTGAAAATGGTATGGAGCTTTAATGGTTTTGCTAAGCCCTTTAATGAGACAGGATCTTTGTGAAGTGAGAGAGGCTTTGTCAGACCTAAATGATTCTAACCAGCATGTAAAATGTGTCTGTAGAATAACTGACCACCCTACAAGAGATATAAAAGAGACCAGACAGAAAAAAAAAAATGGTCCATTTGGGTTACTCGAAGACAAATGTGGTCAAGCCCAAATTCCCAGAGAAAAAATTGATAGAAAACAAAATCTGGTACTAAAGAGTTTCTGGAAGGCTTTAAAACCAGAACAACAGTTTACAAAAGGCATTCAAAGAATAAAAACTGTCCCGGGGTGGTTAAGAATCCCCAAAGATTAAATAATGTGTATTTTTCTTCTGAAAAGTCTACACTAGGAGTGGGCGCAATTTTTCCCACAGAGGCCTCCCTAGGCAAGCAGGTGTAGTCAATGGAGAGATGACAGATATGGCTACAGTCAGGAGGCAGGCCCAGAGCCTGCCTGACTCAGGGAACCAACAGATACAGCAGGGACAGGAGAAACCCCCTGCCTCCTTTGCCCAGTGCCGGGTCAGGCAACTGGAGACAACACCTCTAAGTGTATCAAGGATAAAAGAATACAAAGAGACTCCATGTAAAATCCCCCAAGTGAAAAATGACTCCAAAGGGATAACTAGAGGCAGTAAAGAACTAATCAAACTAATGCCTCGTACCCATGCTGTGGTACCTAACAGGATCTATGGAGAAAACAGTTAATACGAAGGGGTAAAACCTTTCCGTGCTGTGTGAGACCTTGTCTATGATTGATTTAATATATGATGTTAACCTTCCTACAAGTGTTTTACAGATGTGAAACCCATTTGAAAGATACTTGAAGAAACAAAGGCCAGCTATAGCTGTAAGATTCTTGGGAGTTTTGTGGTTGGGTAAGATAAAAACAAAGGTTCCCAAACCATACAACTGTTAAGAAAATCTAGGGTATCAGGGGTGGGTTGCCCCCTATGAGCTGTTGGTCAGAGAGGGAGTCTAGAGGTCCTCCAATTCACCAAGGCTATTGCCACTAATGTCAGCTGTACACCAGAAAGGTCGGTAAGGCCATGTTGCTGCTGAAGACACTACATTATGTGAGCATGGGAGGAAAAAAAGAGATGGAGCTGAGACTAAGCCAAAAAAAAAAGAAACTCCATGCCACTGGATGGATGATGCTCATAGTGCCAGAAGGTGCTATGCAGATGGTTGGGGAAGAAAGGATCCCCTATGAATCTACTCAACAATGGACCCCACATACTACACACTATGGACATGCCAAGCAATGCCTGCAAGTGAAATAATGACTCAACCAACATACGTACAACTGACAAATTTCTAATTGGATAAGGCCCGCTCCCAGGGGTGGAATGCATATCTGGTGCTGTAGACCAGGCCAACCCCCTGTGTTGAGAAAGGCTACAGACCCTAGGGGGGAAGCCATCACAAATATACTGTTTAATGAGTATAGTACACCTACTGGGATATCTTCTAGGCATTTGTATTTACATTCATGTTTGTTTAAATCTGTCTACTTCCTTCCATTTGTCTTTATAATAAAAGAAACACCACTGAGATAGATCAATGGCCACATCTTAAAGACAAATAATAGGGAGGCCGAAGAAGTCACCATCTTGCCATGATACAAGAGAGATCGCCCTACATCTGTCACCCCCTCCAAGGCTCAAGGACCTTAGCAGAAGATTGGTGGAAAGATTGTAAGAGTGGAGGAAAGGAGTGGAGTGTGTCCCCAAAGGGCCTGGTTCCACTGAGGGGTGGGGCCTGCTGTGGAGAATTGACTATGGAGACTCAGCCACGGAGGGAGGGGCTTTTGACACCATCTTGGACGGAAGCAGCATGGCCAGGTGCGCACAAGAAAAAGGATGGCCCTGGTGTCGCACCCACGTCAATGCAAGAGGAGGCATTTATCAACCTGGGGCGAGTCTGCAGGCCCACAAGGCGTGAGCAAAAGCTAATGGTGACTATGGGAGGGGCATAGAAGCCATCTGGGCCAGCAGGCCACTGAGCCACAGAGCGGAACGGGGTGCCAGGTGTCCGAGGGGCTTTTGACACCATCTTGGACGGAAGCAGCATGGCCAGGTGCGCACAAGAAAAAGGATGGCCCTGGTGTCGCACCCACGTCAATGCAAGAGGGGGCATTTATCAACCTGGGGTGAGTCTGCAGGCCCACAAGGCGTGAGCAAAAACTAATGGTGACTATGGGAGGGGCATAGAAGCCATCTGGGCCAGCAGGCCACTGAGCCACAGAGCGGAACGGGGTGCCAGGTGTCCGCCTTTTGTGAAGAGCTGGGTCTTCGCCTTTGTAAGTTACTCCATTTCCCCCCTACCCTAGATACAAAGTGAAAAATTCAGATAAAGATATGTTATATGGTTTGTCTAATAGCACCCAGAGCAAGAGACCCTGAAGAGAGTGAGGGCAGGTCAAACAGAGAGTGGGAAGGAGAAAATTTAGTGGGACAGCTCAGCAGGTAAAAGTGCTTGGTGCTGAGCTTAATGACCTGAGTTCAGTTCCCAAAACCCATACGGTAGAAGAGAACCAAATTCTGCAAGTTGTCCTCTGACATTCATGTGCACACCATGGCATGTGAGTGGATACATACACACACACACACAAACACACAGTAAATAAATAAATGTAAAAAGTAAAAATAATGGTTACTAGGTGAATTAACATGCTAATTGATTTGCATGTAGTATATTTATAATATAGACAAAACAACATGTTACGCATATGAAATGTATACAATTCTACTTCTAAATTATATGCCAAAAGAGCTGTTGTAAAAGTAAGCACAGGGGCTGGACAGATGGCTTAGCAGTTAAAAGCACTGGCTGCTCTTGCAGAGGACCCGAGGTTCAATTTCCAGCACCCACATGGTGGTTAACAATTGTCTGTAACTCCAGTTCCAGGGGATCCGATGCCCTCTTCTGACCTCCAAGGGCATTGTATGACATGGGTGCACTTACACACATGCAGTTAAAACACTGATGCACTTAAAATAAAAATAATAAAATATTTTTTAAAGTGAGATCAATTCCAAGGTATTAAGATACTATTTAAAAATGATTGTTTACAGAGCCACGTGTGGTGGCACACACCTTTGATCCTAGCACTTGGGAGGCAGAGGCAGGTGGATCTCTGTGTGTACAAGGCCAGCCTGGTCTCCATAGTGAATCCAGGCCAGCTATGACTACAGGGAGACCCTGTCTCAAAAAGACAAAAAAAAAAAAAAATTTGAAAAAATTTTTTTAAAAAAAAAAAAAAAAAAAAAAAAAAAAAAAAAAAAAAGATTGTTACAGTCTTTGTTGCATTTTAAGTAACATTTTGTCAATTTATTATATTTATTTCCTCATTACCTGCCCATCCCCTGCCTACAGTAAATATAAGCTGCAATGGGATCAGAACTCTTGTCTGTCTTGTTTTTTTTTTTTTCCCCCTAGCACATAATAATACAGTACTGGATGATACTGCTCTAATGAGAATTATTATCTAATGAGTGTTATTAGGGAAATAAGAGTCATCCATGTCTTAATGAGTAGTAAAGAAAAGTAGAATAATTTGGGACGTCCTCATCAAACACAACCACAGAGCTGCTAGATGCACCTTTGCCTACAAGAACACACCCCGGAACTCGGCTGAGCCGTCCCTTCATCTCCAGGGGCCTCACCTGTTTTGAAGACTTTCCAGGTTTGGTTCTGGGATACTAATACCCCGAACCATGATGTCATATCCACTGGATTGAGCAAACTCCCCTGACACATGCCCTTCTACACCAATTTTAACACCTACATCAGCATTCACTTTCTGGACCACAGTGTCTCTGATGGGGACGGGCACTGACTCTACAGTCTCTGTGGAGAGAAAAGGGGACCAGAGATTTAGCCAAGATTTCTCTGTGGAACAGCTAGTCTGAGAAATGGGAAAAAAACAATGAGGCTAGTTTCCCATCCTTCCCCACCCTCCCACTCATTTAAATCTTAGTCAAGAAGCTATTGAATCAATTAATACTTTAAATACAAATTATTACAGAAGACAAATGCTGGAAGCCAGGCAAATATATGTATATATGTGTAAATATATATACATATGTGTGTGTGTCTTTAACCCTAAGAAATGATGGTATCACTTGTACAGTGTCTAGGAGTCCCTTGGGATCATCTTTGCAAGCACAGAATCCAGGTGCAGAATCTGTAGACAGACTGACCTGGGTCCTAGGTCTGTCAGTTCCACACGTTATAGTTTTGTACAAATTGTTTTAGAAACCTTAATTTCTGTTTTATGAAACAGGGATAATATTTCCATCTCAGGAGGCTCTTAGAAGAATTATTTGACCAAATCAATGGTTGGGTCTAGAAAATGAGCAGATTCTTAATGTTACTTCCTTATCCTTCGCCTTTAGGCAAGATGGATCATGCACTACCTGTCTAGGTGTCTCTGAGATGCTTGGATGCTGCCCTACTTCTGTCTGAGAATGCCGTTTCTCACACTTAGAACCCTTTGCCCCTAGTTGATGATACCTGGGTCTGAAACACCTGGCTCCAAGATCTTCAGGAGGGAGAATCCGGTGGGAATATCCTCACGTGGCTCCCAAAACCATGACTGAGGGTTCTTCTGCAATATATTAAACTCATGGAATTTGGTGGCGTCTGACAGGGATTTGACAGGCTTCAGATCTTTGCCTCCAAGCATTTTGACTGCCTCCTTGCTAAGCTCGTGTAATGTGGCAGGCATGGTACTAGAAGCAGATGGAAGGACGTTCACAGTTTAGTTGAGATGAGGAAGAGATTAACCGACTCTCACTGACCTCTGATATTTTTCATAAAGCAAAGAGCAGGGCATGAGAGGACCCTGAATCAGTGCACAGCATTAGTACACACACTGCAGTTTATTGTGGCACCATTCTGAATGCCAAAATACTGGCTCAGTCTAGATGCCCACCAAAAGATGAGTGGGCTGGGTGTGGTGGTGCACTCCTTTAATTCCAGCATTCTGGAGTCAGAGGCAGGTGAAGCTCTGTGAAATAGAGGCCAGCCTAGACTACATAGCGAGTTCTAGGGTAGCTAGGGCTACAAGGAGACCCTGTCTCAAAAAACTAAAAAGTAAAAAAATTTAAAGATGAATGAATAAAGAAAAATGTATGAAGATACACACGCAGTTGTTTTACTCAGCCATAGCCATAGAATTATGCCATTTACAGGAAAATGGGTGAAGCTCAAGGTCATGATGCTACGTGAACTAAACCAATCTCAGAAATATGGCGTGTTTTCTCAAAAGTACGTACTCTAGACTTTAAAACTATCTATAAGATGGGAAATCAGAACGGGGACTCTTTGGAGGGGGAAGGGGACTGTGGGATGGGATGGGAGGACAATGGAGGGCAATAGGCTGAATATCAGCAAAGTGTACTATATACCTGTGCTAAGATGCCTTAGTGAAACCCACTGTTTCATGTCTATCTAAATAATAATAAATACAAAATGAAATAAATAAAATAAAATGCGCTAAAGACTTGACTAGACAATTCTTCAAGTAAGAAATGCAATGGACAGCTAGGTAGGCAGTTCCTTCCTAGTAAATAAGAATCCTCCCCCAGCATGTGTAGGACCTGGGTTCAATACCCAGTACTACCAAAAAGAAATACAGTTAGCCAACAAGCATTTGAAAAGACAATGTCACCAATTATTAGAGAAATGCAAATCACAATCACAGTGAGATATTATCTCACATCTGTCAGGATGGCTATTAACCAAAAATCCTAAAAGGCCATAACTGTGGGTATAAAGATGGAAAAATTGGAACCCTGCACACTGTGTAAATAAGAATGGTACAGCCCTTACAGAAAGCCACAGAGGCATCTCAAAAACTTGAAAGCAGACTTGAAGACAATATCTCAAAGAGATATTAGGACTTCCGTTATTGCACCATTGATCACTCTAGCCAAAATGTAGAAACAGCCTAAATATACATCACCAGGGTGAGGAAACACGGGATTTTCTTACAGTGGACTGTCATTGAGCCTTAAAGGTAAAGGAATTCAACAAAATGCAACAATTTCGTAAAGCCTGAGGTTGCTAACCTATATGTCAGTCAGAAGACAAACTCTGGATGGTCCCACTTATATGAGCTAGCTAAAAGTCTCCACGACACAAAGAGTGAAGTCATGACCTCTCTGAGGCATCACTCAGGAATGACAGAAAAGCAGGAAGTTGTTCATCAATGAGCTTAAAGTTTCAGTTATGCAATACAAAAAACTTCTTGAGATCTGCTATCTAGGTTTCGACCTCTATTTTTTTTGTCTATTTTAAAACCTGTTGAAGACAGAGCTCATGTTAAGTATTTTAACACAATATATCTGATTGTTCCCAGGCTCTGAATAGATATCAAAATCCCTTATACAAAATGGCTTAATATTTGCATAGAACCTATGCACATCCTTCCATATCATTTAAATAATCTCTAGAATACTTTGCCCATTACAGTGCTGGGCATGGTAGCACCCACCTTTAATCCCAGCACTCAGGAGGTAGAGGCAATTGGATCTCTGTGAGACAGAGGCCAGCCTGGTCTACACAGCAAGTTCCATGACACTTGGGGCTACGAGGAGACCCTGTCAAAAAAAAAAAAAAAAAAAGAAATTGAGAGGTGTGGCATGGGAGGAGCTGGTGAGGGACACTACTCATATGAAATTTTCAAAAATTAAAAAAATTAAAAGTGAAAAAAAAGACTGTCCCTCACATTGTGTGATATCTGAAAACTAAAAACAAAAGAGAAAAAGCAAGAGCTGATAGTGAATTTTGTGGCTCATGAGAAAGATGGAACAGTAAGGAGAAATTCTGGGTCTCTGAAGTGGGTGATATGACGGAGGCCGTGCCATTTCCTGAGTGACAGAACTCTGAAAGGAAACCTGTTAGTAGAAAAAGGAAACCCAGGAAAAGGTTAAAACAGACAACTACGTAAATCAGCACTCAACAGTAGAAAACTTCCATGGAGATAAAAATGTTTGTGCTGTAGGGTTGTGAGTGGAAACCAAAACTTTGGTTGTACTAGTCATGAACAGGCAGGCAAAAGTGTAACCAAGCTTTGCAGGTCAGACTAAATGAAAGTAATCTGCTTAAATTGCTTTCTTAAGAGCAAAGAAGGATATATCCAACTACAAAGAACTGAACTTCGAACATTATATGTTCAATACTAAGAACAGAATTTTCAATAATTCATATGAAATTCCTGATGTGACCATTTTTATTCATGTTCAGTGTCATTGAGAACAGAGGGTAGCAAGACAAAAAGAGTCTTCAAAACTGGACCTGAACAAACATGTCAGAGATACATCCCTTACCCTTATAAGCGTTCAAGGGTTGTCTCCTCATTCTCTTATTAAGACCTTAAGAGAGAAGTGTTACCTTCCCTGTAGGTCACAATACATAGGAAAAAGCCTTCAATTCATTTCACAAGCTCATTCTGATCCTTTCTGTGTCTTACCACACTCTTTTCTTATTCACATCCTGATCCCCACTAGCACTTACCAGGCTATAGATCTTTACTCGGGTAGAGATGTTGATTGAATGGGTTTTCTCTCAATCCTTAGACCTTCTGATTCAAGCGGAATTTGTACAGACTCCAGGACCAAAGCAATGTGATTCTCCTCACCGTTTTCTCTTGTCATTTACAGGTCTCTGACTTAATTCACAATGCAATATTCTGGAGAGATAAGCACACAGGGGGCTTCTCTCTTCTCTCCAGGAACCGAGTTCTGGAGCATAGAACCCCAGCACTCAAATCCACTCAGCCAAAGTCAATGGAAAAGCACCAGATAACTCTCCTGGATCAGAGACAGAAGATTCTTAAGCAATTGTGTTCCTTTCTCTTCACAAAGAAAACCAGCTGAACAAGTCTTTGATTCATGATTTCCAGAAAGTGAGGTTGGAACAGTTCACCAATGTCCTTCTGGTAAAAGGGCTGAGTATGTAGCATGTGGCAATAAGAAAGGAAGGCTCAGGAAAAGGTGCTGGGTTACTTTTTTCATAACTGTTGTAAGAAACATTAAGTATTGCTCTTTTCTTTCAAACCCTGTAAAACTTGGAGCTTGGTTTATGAAAGGGAATTTTAATCTTTTAATAGCACCACACCCTGTAAGACTCTTTAAGGAAAGGCCCTGATGCATTCCTGAGCCTGATGGCCTGGAGCTGTGGAGTTCTTCGTCCTTCTCTAGGTGTCTTTTAAACTAGACAACTGTGAGGTTGGACCCCAGCCTATAGGGAAAAGACACAGTTCTCTTGAAATTAGGGATAAAAGCCCACCAAGCTCCTACCCTGTGCGTACCTGCTGGATCTTACTAACCATGAAAGGCACCCTTTGCAAAAGTAAAATCTGCCTTGCTGAGTTACTTTCACTTTATCCAAGTGTTTTTGTGCAGTATTGATGGGATCCTTGGATCTCAGATTTTATTTCTAACACTGTGAACAAATATTGCCTGACAAGAGGCAACTTAGAAGAAAAGTTTATTTTGGCAAAGATCAATTACACACAACTTAACTTTATGAATGACTTAAGGACCAAAATATTAATTCACCAGAGACAAAATTTCCATTTTAAGATCTTGAAGCTCACTAGAAATCTCAGGAAATACTTTGAAATTCTAGTTTTACTCTGATTTAGAAAAGTTTTTTAAAATGTAAGTATTTTTCAGTACCACCAATGATGAAATGAAAATGATTCTCATATAGATACTGGTAGAAACAGATAACTACACCATTTCTAAGCTAGTGCTTGTATCTATCAAAGTCATTTAAAAAATGAATAGCCTCGAGTTATTAATGAATCATATATAAACATGCTTTAAGAAAATGAATCAAGAAACAAGATGACCCAATTAAAAGATGGACTAAAGATCTAAACAGAGTTCTCAAAGGAAGAAATAAAGATGGCTAAGAAACATCTCAAAAAGTGTTCAACATCTTTAGTAATTAGGGAAATGCAAATTAAAACCACCCTAAGGTATCACCTTATCCCAATCAGACTGGCTAGGATCAAGAGAACAAATGATACCAAATGCTGGTGAGGATGTGGAGAAAGGGGAACACTCATTCACTGCTAGTGGGATTGCAAACTCATGCAACCCCTATGGAAAACAGTGTGGAAAACTTAAAAAACTACAAATGAACCAACATATGACCCAGTTATACCGCTCCTTGGCATATACCCAAAGGACTCATCCTATTATAGAGACACTTGTACAACCATGTTTGTTGCTGCTCTTTTCACAATAGTTCAGAGATGGGAGCAACCTAAGTGCCCCTCGACTGACTAGTGGTTAAGAAAAATGTGGTATATTTACACAATGGAGTTCTATTCATCAGTAAAGAAAGATGAAATAATGATATTTTCATATAAATGGATGGATCTAGAAAGTGTTATACTAAGTAACACAGACTCAGAAAAACAAACAACATATGTTCTCCCTCATATGTGGATCCTAGCACCAAATCCTTTTAAATTCCATGTCCTTTTAATAAGATGATGCTCTATAGCAGTCCCTTCTGCATGAAATAACTACCGTCATCACAACTTCAGCTGTGCCTGATCGCTAAACATAGTCACAATTGGGTTTGTTGATGGTTGTGCTCATTCATTAGAGGGGCAAGCAAGGCTATTGGACCCTCAATGGATTATCCAGCCACTCTTCCCAGGCAACTGTATGTAATTTGGCCCTAATCACAGATGGTCTCCTGGAT